AGGCTGTTTTCAATCTCTCCAAAAATTACCATTGTTTATGCATTTGGTAGCTTTACTTGACGTTTATAACTGGCCGTTAAATGTGAATGACGGTACTTTTGGCAATAAAGCTATCGGTGAAGTTGTTGAACATTTTTCTGAATTTTTAATTGGTGTAGGATGTGATTTGCATAATATACTTCATGAGTGGATCCTTTTAAAAGCATACATGTTTCCCATCATAAGTAACAATCATGAGTATTATTTGAAAATTTGGGAAATTGTTTTTTCCAAATCAAGTTTGGTCCAAGAATACCGAAATATTCTTGATATTTTTGAACTATTTTTAATTTGTGCTTTTACAAATGCGAAGGTAGAATGAATGTTTTCATGTATGAATCACGTAAAAAATGACTGGAGAAGTTGTCTTAGACGAGATCGATTAGAATCTCTACTTCGGATAAGCAAAGAAGGTCCTGAGATTGACAAATTTGAACCTGATACTGCTATGGACGAATGATATAATGATAAAGTTAGACGATTGTCAGCAAATTTTCATTGTTATCCAGAAAAAAGAAAAAGAAAGTCAGGAAAAACAGACATTGATCTAGCGACAGTTACAATATCAGATTTGGAAGAAAGTGAGAGTGAGGAAGAATATTGTGACAACTTCTAATTTTATTTTAGCGCATTGTAACCCCTTAAAATTAAAATATCAAATAACAACTTTAAATAGCGTATGATTTTTAGCTTCGTAAAAATACTTTTATGTTAGTAAAAATCCTGAAAAATTCTAAGCATTAAACTAGTGAAATTATTTCAAAACGATAAAAATATTTACAATTAAGTTCTAATACTTTTTCTATTAACAATCAAAAAAAGTATTAGCTTTATTTTATTGAATGAAAAAAGTGAACGCTAACTTTTATTAAAAAATGCATTGAATGAAAAAGCAATAGATAAAAATATCATCGGAATTTGATAAGGTTAGTTAGATAAGAAAACTGACTTAATAAGAATTTGATTATCATTCTTGTTTGTTGCGCAGGTTTTCGTCAAAATGTTAAGTTTTAACATTTTATCACAATAATGTTTTCGTCATTTTTAATAGTTTTTTATTACTGTTTCAAAATTAGAATTTTAAATAATTTTTTTTACTGTTAAAAATTTATAGAAAATTAAATATTCTAGTTGTTTTAAACAGTTTAAAATATGTAAATAAAATAGAAGATGAAATAATTAATTAAAAGAAGGTTAGGAATATCAAGCTCATTAATTTTACAAAAACATAGCCGTTAGATTTAATGCAATATGATAATAGTAATAATGTAAACTATAACTAAAGCTATTTTACAACCGCTAACCGTAAATGTTATGACATCTTATGCAAAAATGAGACTTATTATGTATGTTAATATAAATAAGTTAAAATAAATCATGCCCCCCCCCCCATGGGGGAGGAGGGGGAAGGAGTTATGAGCAACAAAAAAATCACGATTAGATTTTTTTACGTTAATTCAAGCCCTGTATATATATATATATATATATATATATATATATATATATATATATATATATATATATATATATATATATATATCAGTGCATGTTATGAATAAAATCACCCAACGCAATATTTCGTGCTCGTGATACTGAAACACATCAATGAGCCCGATTATGCGCGCTCGGTATCAAGTCTTCGAGAGCAATATTCAGAGTTGGAAATGGGCCATCCATAAATTACATACGCAAGTATGGGGAGGAGGTCACTTAAAAGTGTATGAGTGCGTACAAGGGAAAGGGTGGATGATTTTTTGTTTGAATTTTTTTCATGTGAAATCCGGGAAATCAGATGAAAAAGCTTTGGTTTTTATATTTGCTAATATAAAAACTAAATAGCAATAAACAATACCTATAACAAATATTTGTTATAGGTATTGTTTAAAACTTTTTTTTTTAATTTTTTTAATAAATAGACTTTGATATAAGCTTAACTGATTCGAAGATATCAGTGAAAATATTTAGTTTATTAACTTATTAATTTGACAAAAAAATATTTGATATTCCAATGTTTTGATGATTTTAAATATAATAGTTAATAGTCTTTAATTGATAGGGGTCGTCCATAAATTATGTCACGCAATTTTGACCTCCCCTCCCCCCCTCCTTGTCACAAAATTGTAATACTTAAGAATCAAGTTTTGTATAAGTCGTCACAATATCACCAACCCCTCCCCCCTCCCCCTCCCCCCTCCCCCTCCCCCCTATAGCGTGACGTAATTTATGGACGAGCCCATAGAGTGTAATCGAACCTGTACGAAATTGAAGTTATAAGTGATGTTTTAGTTTGATAAAGTTTTTATGCTAGATATTTATAAATATTGCGCTAGATTTTTTATTTTTTACCATTTAAGTTTGGAATTTTTATTGAAGTGTTGATATTTTATCACATGGACTTTTATGCAATTCAAAGTAAAAGTTCTAGTTAACCAAAGTTTTTTTTGTCAAATGTACTAAAAAACTGTAAGAGTTGAAGAATGGTTCGACTTGACCAGAGTATTATTAAGCGGATAATATGACAAAGTTCAATTGGAATTTAAAAAAAAAACATGCTGAATTTAGCTTTCAAATTGAAAAAATAGATTGTTTTTAGTTTAAACTTATGTCATATAAATTTTGCATGATGTACTTTATTATGAATATAACTTCACTATTTAACTACATGCAAACCCTACTGTTAAAACATATTTTTACTTCAGCAAAAAAATTTTACTAAAAAAATTTTCTTTAAAATCAACTTATAATTTTTTCCTTCACAAGTTCTTCAGACAAGTGCAATTTTTTACTCTCATAACGAAACTAGCCAGCGCTATTTGTCGCTCTAGAAAGGCCATTTACTGGCATGTTTCATGTGCGCGGAGTAATTGCTCTTGCTTCATCGCAAGGCCTGATATATATATATATGTACAGGCTTAGGCAGGAATGGTGGGCAATCATCCACGTCTGCTTCATACATACACCCGTGTAAGTTAGTTTACATTGGTGAAATAAAGCTCATGCAAGTATACAATAATTTTATTTTTAAACAGCAAAATTTAATGTTTTTAAGTTGTATTTTACTTACATAAACGAAAAAAGTAAAAAAAATCTAGCCTATTTAAAATAAAATATTGGTTTAATAAGTATTATTTGAAAGAAGCAAACAAATGTTTATTAAAAAAGTTCATAATTAAAGATTTTTTGAAAATGTTTTGACATGATTATTTTAAAATAAAATGTTTAAATGACCAATATAAGAATTTTCATCTGAAAAACTGTAAAAAACAACAACAACAAAAAACTAGTAGTTTTTACAAAGCTATTTAAATTTTATATTTATAATTAAAAACTTTTTAAAAATAAAATATACTTTTTAATACACAAAATTTTTATAATTGCTTTTTATCTAAAAGATGATAATGTGAAAATAATAGATACGCTTATTTAAAACCTAAATTAAATCTCTTTTTGTAAACAGTAATAAAAATTTGTTTAAATTTGAATTACTTGACACAAAAATAATTTTAAAAGAATCAAATTTATCCATTCAAGTTAATGACTAAAGTCTTTTCTTATAATTACTTGCCCTCTCGCTTGGAGCTATTTCTGTGCTATTTTTAAAGTTTTTGAATTAGAAAAAATGTTTCACAAAGAAAAAGTGTAATGAAAATATAAATATTTATAATATGATAAAAAACATAACAATTTTATATAATTGCAAGTAACATGGGCAATAAGTATTTTCGGTTGGTTTTCTTTTAATATTAAGATAAAAAATCTCATTGATAAAATTTATTACGTTTAAGTTTTTCATGCTTAAGTCTTTTCCTGCTCACCCATACATCCTCAAAAACCTGGCGAGCGCATTAAAAAGCACTTGCCAAAAAAACAGAAGCATTTTGTTGTAAATTGCAACAAAACCTTTTTTGTTTATTTGTTCATTTTTTATGTAATGTGGCTGTTTTTTACCAGTTTTTTAAAAATTATTCAATCTAGTATTTGTTCAAAGCATTCTTTTCGCTATTTTTATTTTATTTTAAATAGTAGAAAAAATTTTTTTTTTAATTTTAAAAGCCTATTTTAAAAATGACCATCATGCCAACGCTTTTTTGTGCGCTGAAATTAAATTTCAATTGGAGAAGACTGATATAATTTATATACATACATACATACATACATACATACATACATACATACATGCATACATACATACATACATATATACATACGTACATACATATATACATACACACATACATGCATGCATGGTGCATACATACATAAATACATAGGGTGGTCCTTAAAACAACTTTTTTTTTTAATGCTTGTTCTCACCTTCTAAATGTGTTCTATATAATAAAATAATACTAGAATTAAAAAATTTTTTGAAAAAAAAGATATTTTAAAGAGTGCTCCAAGGCCCTTAAACACTTAAGTAGTTCCTATAATTATCAAAAAAATAGTTCTTCAAAAGTATATCATAAAAATTATTTTATTAAAAAAAAAAAAAAGAAAAATTTTTTTTTGCATATTTTTATTTTTTATTTTAAAAATGTCTTTTTCTAGGAAGTGAAATCTAAAGTAAAAATTTTATTAATTTTTATATAATTAATAGTTTTTTATATATATAACTAATAGTTTTTTGTATAATTAATACTATTTCGCTTCTTTTGAGACCCAACATGACATACTTTTGAAGAACTATTTTTTTTGATAATTATAGCGACCAGTTAAGTGTTCAAGGGCCTTGGGGCACCAAAAAAAATATTTTTTTTTCAAAAAATTTTTTAATTCTAGTATTATTTTATTATATAGAACACATTCAGATGGTGAGAGCAAGTATTAAAAAAAAAAGTTGTTTTAAGGACCACCCTAATATATAAATACAGCAAGTTGTAATATATATATATACCTTTAATTGCTTTTTTAATAACTCTAAGCATAATATATCTTTTGTATGATTATAAAGCATTACTTTTTAGTTTTGGTTGCACTCAACCTGTTCATGAACCAGTTAGATGTAATGTAAGTTTATTTTGATATTTTTATTGTTCGACTATTTCATCTTTTTTCTTCTTTTTTTTTTTTATTATTATTATATATATATATATATATATATATATATATATATATATATATATATATATATATATATATATATATATATATTATTTAGATAAAATAATTTAATTTTCAAATTTAATTATAGCAGTAAATGTATTTTGATTGAATCATATTTGTTTTAAGAAATGTTAGAAAAGTGAAGTCATCTTGAAATTTCTGTGAAATAGACTCTTTTAACAAATTTTTTTTTCAACACTTTCTTTTCACATTTCTTTTTGTTTTAGTAAGTTTTTAATTCAGAAATTTTTTACTTATCGAGTACTATAGCTCAAAAATGATTTCTTTTACAACCGGTGAAAATTATTCAGTTTTCTAAATCAATTTCCAGGCTCCTTGATTTGAGTTTTTTTTTCTTTTAATCTAATCATTGTTCAGTTTCTTTAAGTGGTTTTAAGTGGTTTTGACCATTTTCTGATATTGGATTCAGTAAGGCATTCAGGGTTATTAGTTTATCAAACTTTAAAGTTTTTAAATGATTTTTTTATTTTAAATATTGATATTTTTGTTATAGAAGTTTTTTTGGTCAGATTTTTTTAAAGGTTCTATTATACTCTCAATTTTTTTTAATAAGTTAATCTTGTTTATGTATGTCTTTTGTTTGTGTTGATGCAGTTATAGCTAAAAAAAGATCTAACCACACAATATGCAAAAAGGTGTTTTTGTACTGTATAGTGTTTTAATTTATAAAACATTTTAATATTATGCATGAGCTCCTCAAACTTTTAGCCTTTATTATTTGCAGCATTGAGGTAGCAAGAGACTCACAAAATGCTGGAATTATTTTATGATGCTTTCATTATGGCTCAGGTTGGGTTATGTTAAAAAACTTCTGCTTTCATTTTTACCCAACAGTTTTCCATGAGGTTTATATCAAGCAAACTGTATGGTCACAGGGCTAGAACATTATCTTATTTTTTTGGAGCTATGTCTTGACAATTTTTGCCACAAGTTTGGTGGCGGGTGAATATTGATTTTGTGTACTGCAAACTGCTTAAATTGTGATTTGTCTGAGAGCATGACATGTCGCCACATGTCCAATCCTTGTGTTCTTTGCAAAATTTGAAGTGATCTTTGGGAAAGATGTGGCTTTAACGCAACACAGTACAATAAAAATTAAAGTCCAAGGTGGCTTTGAACTGTGCATGCATTTTATTACTTTTTTTCTACCCCTAATTTTTTTTTTTTTTTTTTTTTTTTTCTTTTTGTAATTTTTTTAGTTAGTAGTTGCTTTTACCTTATTTGGAGTTTTGTAAAAAAAAAAGGTATTAAAACACTATTTGGAGTTAAACGTAATGTAAAAGTATTAAAACCCTATTTGGAACTAAAAAAAAGTATTTATACAAAAATTCAGAAGCAAATGAAAAGACTACTGAGAATTTAAAATTTAATATTTTAAAAATTGTTAATTAAATTATTTGATTGTGTGTTTTATCTTGTTGATTATCTTTTAGTTTTAATTATTTTGGTTTACAGTGGCTTCGTAAATGGCTTAAAAAATGTGACGATGACAGTGAGACATCAAATTGGATACATGCAAATACTAAGGTTAATGTTTTTACTTGAAAAAATTTTGAAAGTTTTTTCGATCTTTTATTGATTTTTTGATCTTTCATTGTTAAACTTAATATTTTTAGGAATGTCCAAAATGCCATGTAACTATAGAAAAAAATGGTGGATGTAACCATATGGTTTGTCGTAACACAGCTTGTAAGGTAAGCAACAGCTTGTAAGGTCTTCTCTTTTTTTTGTGTTTTTAGATCATAGTTAAAAGTTTTCTCTTGTTTATTTGATATTTTTATTTTTTATTTTTTTCGTAGGCTGATTTTTGTTGGGTGTGTCTTGGACCATGGCAATCACACGGATCAAGCTGGTATGCTTAAAGGTGTTTTTATTGGGGTATTCATTTTTTATAGGGGTATTCAATTTTGTTGCAAATTTATTTTGTAAAAGAAATTTTAATATGGGAATTTAAGCTGTTTATTGATGCACTTCTGTATTTTTTATTTTTTTAAGTTTTTTCTATTAAGTTATATTTAGTAGTGTTATTATTCTTAGATTATTTAAGTTGAAGTTATTTTAGTTAAAATATTTTGAAATTTTTAAGTTAAAAAAAAATAATTTTTTTGAAAATAAATTTTTATTCTAGTTATTTTGAAATTTTATTTTATAAATAAACTGTTTACAGGTTGTAATAAATATATATGTTTTGTAGGTACAATTGTAATCGCTACGATGAGAAAGATGCCCAAGCTGCTCGAGATGCCCAGGCAAAATCTCGTGCTGCATTAGAAAGATATTTATTTTACTGTAACCGATATATGAATCATTTACAATCATCAAAATTTGAACAGAAGCTTTATAATCAAGTGAAAGATCAAATGGAAAAAATGCAGGAGCTAAACATGTCTTGGATTGAGGTTATTTTTTTTTCTTCTTTGTTAAACAAAATTTTTTTTGAAAGCTTTGTTAAGCTGTGTTTAGATCTTACGGTGTTTGGACTGAAAGAGTTATAGTACATTGTAAAGTTGTCAATTAAAATATATTTTTCAAATTAATTTTAAAATTAGTTGATTTTCAAAGTAATAAACAAAATGTATTTCTTTTTTTGATACAATAAAAAAAAATTAGAACTTTTAAATCTTTATCTAATGATTTTAAAACTATTTTTTATTAAGCAATTTTTTATATTCATTATTTAGTTAGATAATGTTTTCTCCTTACTGTTTACTACTGCTAGAAACCATTGTATAAAGGTTTTGTCTAATGCCAAAGCCCACTATTTTCAGGTCATAAAGTCTCATATTTCATCTTTAAAATTAGGCTTTCATGACTTCTGGAGAACTTTAACAGTATCAATAATAAGGGCAAATCTGTTAATCCACCTCTCTTGTATGGTTCAGATTTTATCGCCTCACCTATAGGCAAAACCGAATTGTTTGCTAAGAACTTTTCATCAATATCATTTTGATTCCACTAGTTGCGTTCTACCTGATTTAGCCATCAAACAGATTGATCTATTGATTGGCTTAGGTATCACTCCAGCTTCTGTATCTAAAGTGATTTCCTGCTTAGATTCTTCTACAGCTTGTGGTCTGGAAAATATACCTGTTATAGTCTTGCAGAAGTGTTCTCTGGAGCTTTCGTCTATACTTTCAAAACTATTTAACAAGTGCTTATCGGAGTCTTGTTTTCCAGCCTGCTAGAAAGCGGCATCTGTTATCAAAAATTATCCTATTTTCAAAAATTCTGGAGAGTGATCAAATTCGTCTAACTAACATCCCATTAGTTTTCTTCCTATCATAAGCAAGGTTTTTGAGTCTTTAATTAAGAAACATTTAATCTTTCATCTTGAATCTATTAACTTACTTTCTGATCATCAATATGGGTTTCGATCTTCTCATTCTATAGCTGATTTTTTAGCAAATGCTAACAGTAATATCCAATAGCTTTTATCATGCATTAGATAGATAGATAGGTGGAGAGGTTAAGGCTTATCGCTCTTCACATTTCTAAAGCTTTTGATAAAGTTTGGCATGCTGGTCTTTTCCATATGCTTACAGTGTATCAGGTAACATCTTTAAGATTATTGAGTCCTTATTTTCCAATTGTAGTATAAAAGTTGTCCTCAATGGACAGCACTCTTCTTCATATCCTGTAACTTCAGGGGTTCCTCAAGGTTCTATCCTTGGCCCTATACTCTTTTTAATTTACATTAACGATCTTCCAGATATTCTCACATCTAAGTTGGCATTGTTCGCTTATGATGCTACATAAATTCTTGTCTTGATAAGAAGCCAACACTCTCTGATTGCTTGAAGGGGGCAATTGTGTTTGAAAAGGATCTCACTTCTGCAACAGCATGGGGCTCACAGTGGCTGGTAAACTTTAATTCAGATAAAACCTAATTTTTTATCCAGCCATTTGTTATCGCAATAATTTAGATAAACAATAATGTATTTGATGAGTCATCTACCCTTCATCTTCTAGGATTAACTCTTACTTTCGATCTTTCTTAAAAACCATATATCAAATCCATTGCAAAATTAGCATCTGTTAAGGTTGCATTTCGTGCTTGACACTTTCTTACTTTTGCTTTCCTGATTCATATAATTTGTAATCTTTTAAGTTGTCTGTCAAGCGTTATTTTGCTTTATAAATTTCATCTTTTCACTTCCATTAACTTTCAACTCTTATAGTGGTTGCTTGCAGCCTTGTTGGAAGCAAAGATGTTGAAAAATAATGATAATAATAATGAATCATTAGTAATTAGTATTAGTAACTAGTATTAGTTATTACAAAATGTGATCATAAAAAATTTAATAAATAAGTTTTTATATAAACCTTTATTATATAAATGATGATGTTTAAAATAAAGGTTCTTTTAAAAATAAAAAAAAACAATATTTGTTTAAAATTCCTTGAGTAAATACAAAAAAATAAAAAACTATGGTTAAACTTTCCAGCTATAAAACAGTCAGGGTTAGGGTTAATCAAATAAATTTGGAAAAGTCATTTGGAAAAATATTTTCCTAGTGCACATAATTTATGTTATACTCCAATTTAAATATGTCATTTGGTCTTTTTTCTCAAGCTCGCCAATCTTACCCTATATGTATACACTGAGAGAAAATGTTTGCTATTCCTTGAAAGTTACTTCTTTCTAATGATTTTAAAAAGATTAATTCAGCTGTACTCTATACTTTTTTCCTTGGTTTGCATTTTTGCAAGTATCGCAGACCATTGACAGGCATTTAGATATTTTAGACATTGATCATAACATTTATATATTTTAGATATTGGTCATAACATTTAGATATTTTAGATATTGATTGTAATATTTACATATTTTAGTAATAATTAAGCTTTTTTTAAAAACAATAATTTTGTAGAATACTGAGAATTTTTTTACATTTTACAATTTAATTTTTTTTACAATTTTAAACAAAGTTTATAATTGCTATATGCTACCGGCAAAATGTCATAAAAGTGAAGATCAGTAAGTCTATATCTGCATACATTTTTTCATGTATTTTATTTTGGAATCAGATGATTTACAAAGATAAGTTAAGGCAAACAATGTTACCAGTAACTGGGTGAACTTTTTAAACCTCTTTTTCTTTCTTTTTTTTTTTTTTTTTTTTTTGGGGGGGGGGCTAATTTTTAAAACATTGATACTCTTAAAGTTTTATTTTCACACTGTAAACTACAATTGAATTTGTTAAGTTTTTGTGTGATGTTTCTCTGAAAACCAATAAACCCTACCATCATTTTGAGGTTCATTTTATTATTTATTATTTTGTTGCTTAAAAAAAAAATTCTTTGCTGGAAGAACAAAAAAATTTTTCTCCCTAATTAATCTTTAAAAGTTATTTAAAAATAAGTTGTTTAAAAAAAATATTATTTAAAAAAAAATTATTACTTTAGTTACTGTTCATGTATTCATGGCCTACTTTATACACGGCCAGATATGTTGCATAAATAGGCCGAAAATTAGAAGGCCAGTTTTTAGTATTTTGGTTATTTTTAATACTGCCAGTTAATATTGTTTAAATTTTATTTTGGAAGATATTGATTAAGTTGGAAATTTAGTTTTGGATATAATGGTGAACAAATGTGCTGTTTTTAATTGTCGATCTGGCTATAAATCTAAAAAAAAATGAATCTAGTTTTCTTAGTGCAAGTAAAGCTGTTTTTAGTTTTCCTAAAAATACTGTTTTAGAAGAAAAATGGATGAAATTTGTTAACAGAAAAGATTAGAAGCCAAGCAAACATTCAGTTATATGCTTGGACCATTTTGAAAAAAAGTATTTAAAATATAGAAAACAAGTTACCTTAAAATATGAGCTAAACCCTGTTCCAACCATTTATTCTGATGAAATTTGTATTCCATCTTCTATAATACCTAAAATTCCTACTTTTCGTAAACCTCCAACTGACCGACATTCTACCATCCCAGATGAAATTCATACATTTCAAGAAATGGATAAAATAAAAAACATTGATATGCTTCATGAATCTAACTCTCCAAATGGATTTAGTTTTCAAAGATATGAAAGTTTTGTTCAAATGCGTATTGATTCAATAAACTCCATTTATTGAATCAATACCCATCGATAACAATTTGCATGTAAAGTTACATTACAAAAGTTTTCCACTTCCACTCCCTAAATGGTTTAGAACAATTAACAATTGTAAGCTTACAAGTTTATCAATTTTAAATAATTTGGTGTCTTATATGCACAATCTTGTTGAAGAAAATTCGTATGGTTTAGTTAATGAACTATCAAATTTAATTTTTTACAAATCCAAAGATCGTCCTCCATATTCTTCACAAGTATTACGTTTTGCACTTATGCAAAGATATTCATCATTTCAGGCTTATTCCCTTCTTTTGAAACAACTCCCATTGCCATCAATGTCACTACTAAAGAAGTTAGTTTCTGGTGGAATCAATTCAATAAAATCATTAAAACTGTTATTAAATGAAGGAAAAATAAGCAATGATTGTGTTCTCCTTTTTGATGAAATGTATTTACAGCAATCTTGTGAATACAACAGTGGTAGATTAATTGGTCAAGATACTGAGGATAATCTTTACAAAGGAATAATTGGGTTCATGATTGTTGGTCCTAAAAAATCAATACCTTATGTTATTAAAGCTATCCCAGAAATTAGTCTTACTGGAGATAATATAACCATCCAACTAATGTGTCAGCTTATTCAAAATTACTCAGCGTTTATGGTTCAGAGAAGCCAGAAGAAAATTTTTGTATCACTTTTAATGGTCATTTAATTTATTTGATGTATGATAGTGTACATTTGCTCAAAAACTTAAGAAATAATTTAATTAGTACCAAAAAGTTTATTTTCCCATCATTTCAGTTCACTGATTACATTTTTAATATAAAAGTCTCTGCAGGTGATATATCTTAGGTATTGCTTCATAGAGTGCATGAAAAAGATGAAACTCTATCAGCAAACTTAAGAAAGGCATCAAAACTAGGAGAAAAGACATTATATCCAGGTAACAATAAACAATTAGCATTAAATATATTCCATGAAACTACATCTGCACCAATTCAAAGTTATTTTCCTAATGAATTTTCAGCAACAGAATTTTTAAAACTTGTTAATTTATGGTGGGTAATATCTAATTCTAAAATGAAATACTCTAATCATAAGTTTGGAAATGCATCTGTTATGGGGGACGGAAAGCCACAATTTTTACATGCATTTGCTCATTGGATTGATCAGTGGCAAAATTCGCAAATACAGTTCCACCGAAAGATATTCTCTTACAGCTCAGACTTCTAAAGCCCTTATTATAACACTGCAAAGTACTTCTAGTTTAATTAAAGATCTTCTATTTGAAGGATATAACTATGTCCTTACCTCTCGTTTCCAAAGTGATCCATTG